TATGGTTGATGAAACCTCTGCCCTCACCTGTTCCAGAAAACAGGTGTTTCTATTTCAAAGACAGCTTTGAGCAGCAGTGCAGAACAGGGCCCAGTGGATGCGGTCCTTACCTGTCTTCCATTCAGCCAGAGATGCAAAACTCAGATTCTCTGTTTAACAATCAGAGACTTTCACTGAAGACTAGATTTGAGGGATCAGAGATGAATTAGATTCAGTTCCTAACTTTGGAGACCTCACTGTCAGAAAGAGAGGCGGGCGTGTCAACCACTGTAAATAACCCTAAGACAACCCGAGGGCCATGATGCCGCTGGTGTATACATGTAGGGTGCTCTGAGAGCCCGAGAGAGGGGTGATGAACTCTGATGAGGAATAATTTCAGGGGAAATTTAAGGAGAATAAGGAGTCAACTAGAGTGGGTCCTTGAAGGATGAATAGGAGTTCGTGAATAGAAGTAGGGGGCACAGCATTTCGGTCAGATGGAACCAAACGGGCAGAGGCACAGAGATTCAATGTGCATAGTGTGTTTGGGAGCAGTAAACAGTCTTGCAGACTAGAACACAGAGTGGGGGGGGCAGAAAGGGTCATTCATTCATTCATTCATTCTTCTATTCATGATTTCCTTCTTTCATCCAGCTAGGAGGCAATTACTGAATCTCTGCTAGGAGTCAGGCACAGATCAGAGGGAGAAAAAGTTGGCTCGACTCAGTGAGAGCAAATTATTTCCAAACCAGGATGCTCAGCAGAGTGGGGAGGGTTCCACCCCCACCACCAAGCTCGAGGTTTAAAAGAAGTGCCAGGTGAGCTGAAATCTTCCTGTACAGGACAGCTGTTAAACCTCAGGAACGTGTTCCTGTTGAGAAGTGACGAAAGCTGCAAATGCCACGTCAAAGGACTGTTTCAACAAGCAGGACTTGCTAAGTCCAAGGTGGGCGGGATACAGCCCCAAACCTTGAGGTGGAAACAGTGGTGGAAGCCAGGCGGCAGGTTAGCCTGTGTTTTCATCCCGCCGCCCACAGCATCTGGCAGCACCTGGCACAGGGTTGCAGTTTGAGGACGGGCTCTGAATTCAGATCGCCAGGGCCATACGTCAGCTGCAGCGCTTTTTGGCCGTCACCTCCCGTCGCTGGACCACTGTCTTCCCACGCGTGAAATGGGACGATACTAACACCCATCCTGCAAGGAGGTTGTGATGTTCTGAGACGCAGCTGGTCGCTACATGAGAAGGCTCCTCCCAGGGCCCTGCCACAAGAATGTTCAGTGTCACCGACTCCTGGTGCCACCCTGCACTGTGCCAGGCACACCAGCACTTACTGCTGGTCAGAGTGAATGGCAAACCCCAGGTGCCACTTCTTCAGTGGATCTTTTCCCTCTGAAATGTATCGACGCCTGCAGTGGGAAGCTAGTCAACATCCAGTGTGAAGATTCCAAGGGGCGGGAGAAACTTCTTCCTCTGCCCGCTGCCCAAGGTCAGAGACACTTTACTACCCAGCACACCCCAGGCCTGGAGATGCCAGAGGAACAGACTTTTCCAGATGAATGTGGATGTGCTGCCTTCTCAGTATGAAAATAGACCACCCTGGGACTGGAGTAGCTAATGAAGATGATAATTAGAATTGCTTATTAGGACCTGTCTTCTAAAGTTCATTTGTGCTTTTAATAGAATCTAGAAGGCATCTGCTTAGCGGGGATGACAGATCGTCCCGATTTTGTGTATTTTAAAACAAGATCTTTGCACCCTGGCTTCTCTTGGTCTCGCTCCCACCCCCACCTCTGCCATCTGCTGCTGAGATAGCCTTTCCCCCACTGGAGGAGCCTTGAAGGTGCAACCAGCAAACACTGCTCTTGCCAAGGAGCCCGCACCCCCTCTTCCCCGCAAACCGGAGAGACAGCTGGTCCCCCCCAACCCACTGTATAATCCCCTACTGGCCACCCTCCTTCTTGTCGTCCAGGCTGTCCTAGGTTGAACAGTGTCCCCTAAAAATTCATCTCCACTCAGAACCTCAAAATGTGATCCTGTTTAGGAATAAAATTTTTGTGGATGTATCTAATCAAGTTAACGGGAGGTCACACTGGGTAAGGACAGGCCCTAACCCCCAATCTGGTGTCCCTATAAGATGACCTCGGGAAGACGCGCAGGGAAAAGACCACGCAACCACAGAGGCAGCGGCTGGACGGATGTGTCTATAAACCGTACAGACAATGAACGCCAAAGGTCGCCAGCGAGCTCCCAACTCTGGGAGCGGCAAGGGAGGGCTCTTCCCTGGCATCTTCGGAGGAAACCCGCCTCCCCACACTTCAGCCCCCAGAGCTGTGAGAGCAGATACCCAGCATGTGGCGCCTGGGCACGGCGGCGCTGTGAGACCAATACAACACCCTGCTTTCAGTTTCTTGAACTTCCCCAGCTGCCTCCCAACTCCCCGCCCCGGCACCTGCTGTTCCCTCCGCCTGGGACTCCCTTCCAGCTTCCCATCCCGTCTCAGTTCTTTGGCTGTCCCATCCCCATGTCACCCGTCCAGCCCTGCTTAAGATCCCAGGTTAGATAAGCTGCCCTCTTGGCTTCTCCAGACTTGGATTCTGCTGGACGCCCCCGAACCCTGCACTCATCAGACCTGTGTGTCCGTGTCTGTCCTCATCACTAGACCTCAGATTTGGTGGAGGCACCGCCATGGTTGGTCTTGCCCACTGGCTTATCCCCAGGGCCTGTCCCCGGCCTGCAGTAGGACCTTGGGAGGGGTCTCTGCAGTCAGAGTTGAATTGAGCTACATTCCTGGCCACGACTAGCTGTGCTGTGAGCTCCGCCGTCACCACCTCCACCACGGGAGACAAGACAACAGCAGCCATCATCTCTAACTTTGCCACCAAAGGCACTGTTAGGTCCTGTTCAACCAAAAGCTCTGTCACCTAGTTCACTGGTCAGTTGAAAACCCTAGCAAATGACACATGTCACCTCCATGGGGTGAGGTCCCTGTGTAGTGAGCTCTCTGGACCCCTGCCGTTCTCTTCTGCGAGTCCGTTGCTCATAGATGGTTATTTCATGAATTACCCTATTATTTAATGAGTTACCCTAAGCAAGGCAAGCCAGACGGAAAGCAAGCTTCTGATTTCTCTGGGATTCAGCTGGAGCCCTTGCCTTAGTCCCCCAAGCTGCTGAGGGGTAAGACCTGTGTTCTCATCAGCGCTTTGTCCCTGGAGCCTGGCAAACCATAGAAAATCCTTGATCCTAATATTGCTAAACCCAGAGACATCAGAATGTCCTTTGTGCCCTTTCAAGGCATCAGGTCTGGCTCTGTGAGCCCGGGCACCTAACCTGAGGCTCCCAGCATGGAATTCTCTGTGGGAGATCCTAGTCTATGGAGAACTCCCTCATTGCCATGGTAAAAACTTGGGTTTGAAAAGAAAAGAATGGAAGCAGGGAGCTGAGTGAGGATGGCCACTCCCCTGCACGTGGTGGTGGACTTTTGACCTTGCAATGCCCTTCTCCTGAATCCCAAGTTCAGGCTCATTTTCCCTAGGCCTCCTTGGCTACCATGCTTGGCTGTGGCCCAGCCAGGGCCCTCCGGGGGCAGGGGAGCCAGCCAAGGTCAGGGCCCCCAATCCACAGAGCACAAAAACCTGCCTTCACACCAACGCTTGGCTTCCCTCCCCTCCTCTTTCCCCCTGGAGATTTGCTGTGTTGTGAGCTCTGCGAGAGTGGGGAGACTCATTCTGCACCCAGGCTCTGGTCTGAGAGGAAAACAGAATACAAAAGCTGCACTTGACTTAGACCAGGGGGCCAAAATAGAAATTCAGGAGCACTTCATTCCCTGGGGCAGATCCCAGCCCCCGTGCTGATTGCGAGTGAGCATGGCGTCCCGGGGGCATCCACCCGCCTCCTAGACCACAGGCACACAGGCTTCTGTCCTTCCCAGTGCCTGTTTCCTGCTCCATGAAGTGGGGAAGCTGCAGCATCCTTCTCCCAGGGATGCTGAGAGGATGAAGTGGCGTAGCCCATCGTCCTCACCCGACCGAGTTCCCGGGCTGTTGGTTGTGCTGTTAGTGATAACAGCGGGCACCCCGGCAAGCACCCTGGCTGAAACCCCGCCTTCCGTGTCAGCTTCGCTTGGTGTCTTTGGAGACCGCTGGGGTGGCAGCCGGCAAATCAGCCAGCACGGCCGCTGGTCCAGGAGGGCTCGCACCTGGCCCTGAGCCCTCAGCTTTTCCGTGCTGAGCCTGTGACGTGTGGGAGACTCCAGGCTGGGCCGAGGCAGGCAGAGGGGAGATGGAGACACAATTTCACCACAGGAAGGAGAGAAGCAAACCAGGGTGACTTCACATCAGCATCACCAAGGCTGCTGCCAGGCTGCTGCCTGGAGGGGAACTGTCCTGATGCCCCCCAGAAACATTGGCTTCACTGCCGCTGCTACAGACGGTCCCCGATTTATGATGGTTCGACCTATGATTTTTTTTTACTTTACAATGGTTGCAAGAGCGACATGCGTTCAGTAGGAACCATGAGTCGAGTTTGAATTTGGATCTTTTCCAAGGCCAGTGACATGCAGTCCAACACTCTCTCGTGATGCTGGGTAGCGGTGGTGAGCCACGGCTCCCCGTCCGCGATGAGATCACGAGGGTGAACACCTGATACACTCACACGCATTCTGGACCGGACGACCACTGTGTCTTTCACTTTCAGTAAACTATTTGATAAATGACATGAGACAGTCAACAGCCTTTATTATAAAAAGGTCTTTGTGCTGGATGATTTCACTCCACTATCGGCTAATGTAAGTGTTCCGAGCACATTTAAGGTGGGCGAGGCTACACTGTGATGTTTGGTTGGTTAGGTGTGTATTAAATGCATTTGCAACTTATGATGTCTTCATTTGACGGTAGGTTTATCGGGACAAACCCCCCACTGTAAGCTGAGAAAAGTATGTAACTGTTGCCGCATCTCTTGGGCATGTACTGAGTGCCAGACACTTTCCCTGGAATAGAGCCACTTTATAGACGAGAAAACTGAGGCTCAGAGAGTTGAAACCACTCTCCTAAGGCCACACAGAACAGAGCTGGGATGCGAGCCCAGGATTACTGACACTGCTAGGAGTGAATGCCTAACCACTGCCACTTCTCAGCTGAACAGCCTGGGGTCACGTGGACCAAAACATCCGGACGGGCCTTGAGTTTGGGGGATCCAGTGGGCTCCTCTGCTGCCGGCCTCGCCTCTGCACATCGTTCCAGAAATGGGGGGGTCCAGGAAGTGAAAACCGAATTGGGGACATCCGGTCTGATCAGTTTTCCTACCTTCTTCTATGAAATTCTGGATAGGAAGCCAGGCTCTCCCATCAGTCCCTGCTAGCATCTCGGAATGTTCTGGGAGACGGGAACGCCCACCTTGACAAAGCGTGGCAGCTGGCTCCTTCCTTTTCCGGCTTCCATTGGACCCCCCCGTGTATACCCAATTCCTGCCTGTTTTGACCCTTCCAATTTGTTTCTTTAATCCTCCACTTGGGTTTTGGACAGTCACAGGCTTTTCCAGCCTCCGATGCTTTTTCTCACCTCTCGGGATGAGCTCGCGACCTTTCACGGCCTTCCCCGCACGAGCACAGCTCGGGGGGCCGCCTCTGGACGTGCTTCGGAATCTCAGCGCAGGGCCTGCGTGTATATATTGAGCACAGTGCGGCTCTAATTACAGGCTGCTGCTGGAGACCAGTCATTTCGTGAGTCATTAGGACGTGTGGCTGGGGCTTTATAATATCTTTTGACGAGTTCTGTAATTTTTATATCTTCACCTAGGATGGCGTTTTCAATGAAGCAGAACACGGCTTTGGGGTTGGCGAATGTCACGGCCCCGAGACTGTTTCCAAACTCGGGATTAAAAGGATCTTCTTCGCCCCATTCAAGGAGAGAAATATTGATTTGGATTGGTGGCTCGAGAGGCTGAAAAGGCCCTGTGTCTCCGTGTCTTGCTAATCAATATCCCAGAGCCGTGGCCGGGGGTGATGCCCGAGTACTCCCTTCTGTTCTTCATGTTTGCAAATTACAGGCTTTCAGGTGAGGTGCCTGCATTTTGCAAAGACTGTGAGGAGCAGGTTTAATTAGCAAGCAGACCTGCTGGAAAAATCCAGCGTTATTAAGATCCTCGCTCCATGCGTTGTCTGCTCAGCTGTACCAGTCCCCTGCCCTTGGCCCTTTCCTGCCTACAGCTACCCACCCCCACACCCAGCCCCCAAGTCCCAAGGCGTCCAGGGAAGAGTGAGAGAGGCTAAGAAAAACCACAAGTTCAGATTTTTTCCCCACTGAGATGAGGACTCAGGGTCTCATCTCTTGGAAAATCCTGGAATCTATCCAGAGTGGGGCCTGACTTTGGACCCCTTGGCTTTGACCTCGGGGGCCTACTGCGCAGACACACTGAAGGTGGAGTCCGTGGGCTCAGCTCTGGGAAAACTGAGCCCCTTGTGCTAAAAGTAAAGGCAGACTGAGGGTTGAGTGCCCACTCTGCTCCTTACCTGCCATGTGACCTTGATCAAATGGCTTAACTTCTCTGGCCCTCAGTTTCTTCATCTGTAAAATGGGGCTGGTTGTAGTGACTCCCTCATGAGTTGCTATGCTAGCTAATGAGATAAGGTTCAGAGAGAGGTTCGAGTTTGGCAGGATGGCTGTCACAGAGTCAGCGCTTGATCTGGGGCAGTTGCTGTGAGGGTCACAGTGGCGGCTGGCTTTGTGATTGTGTTGTTTTCATTATTATCAGCGTGAATCTCACGCCACAACCTTGTGTGCAGGAATCAGGCCCAGCCCCACGAGAGTGGTGGACGGGTCCCTGCACACCTGCCTGGGTCACACGATAATCCAGGAAGGGTCTGTTATGTCTGGAGAATGAGGAAGGGGCCTAGAATCTTCCATCCACCATGGTCTCAGCTGACCTGCTCTTTGTCCAAACCGGCCTGGTCCCCTAGAGGTGGACAGCACTCTTGCCTAAGCCTGGGTGCGTCTTTGGTGACATGAGGGCCCCAGGGCTCCAGGTCCAGACCCACTACTCCTGTGCGGTGCCGACGCATGGCCGTTCCCCTCCTCAGTCCCGCCACCTCCTCGCCATGCTCATGGAGACCCGACACACTCCCCACGACCCGCAGACCCGCAGACTCTCCTTCCAAGGTTTGGGGAATTGTCCAGTCTCCTCTCTTCTAGAACGTTCCACATCATCACCCCTGGAAGCACCGCCTCTTCCACTCCCCTGGACTGATCCCCTCCGTGAGCTTCCTGTCTGGGGAACTAAAGTCAGAGGGTAAACTCTCCTTTCACACACAAAGCTCCCCGAGGCAAGGGGCCTCAAGGCCTCACCTTCTCTTGGAGGAGGGAAGGGGAGCTGGGGAGAACCGTACACAGAGTCTGGTGTTTTGCAGCAGTGAAATCCATCACGAATTATTACTGCAACAGAGCTGCCGCCCATTATTGTTAGCGGGTCTGCGGAGGGGAGGAAGGAACCTGCCGGGCATCTTCTTCTACCCACCTAGTCTGGACCAGAGCTACCACTGGCAGTGACTCTGAGCCCTTACACGGATAGCAGTGTGTGTGCATGTGGGAGGGGGGGGTTGTGTAGCGTGATTCATTCTTGACTTCATTCATTTGCTGAGTGCAGAAGATACGGGAGTCTGATGCACCAGACGTGACTCGCATGCTCACCCTGGGCTCATCCCCACCTGGAGCTCACAGACCGAGATGACGGGAAAGAGGGGTGTCGAGGGAAAATGGGGGTGTGTGGCCAGAAGAGTGGGGGTATGAATACTGCACAGACAACCTGGCAAGGCCATCGCCGGCAGATAAGCACCTCACTTCCCGTGTCAGAAGTTGAATTAGAATGCAAGTCTCTGGAGGACCGGGCCCTTAAACTGCCCTGCTTTGGGAGGCACTTGGAGCCCAAAGGCCAGACTTCAAGGCTAGCCGCGGTCTCATGCTACTTACGGGACTTCTCTGGGTTCGTTTCCTTGTCTACAAAATGGGAAATAAGGAGGGTGGGTATCGCTCAGTGGCAGAGCACATGCTTAGCATGCGTGAGATCCTGGGTTCCATCCCTAGTATCTCCTCCGTTAAAAAAAAGTAGGGGGAACTAAAAGTTACTTCATGGAGCAGTTACATAGTAGCACTGTCCAAAATGGTAACCCCGAGCCCCCGAGCACTTAAAATATGGCTAGCCTAAGGAATTGAATTTTTAAACTTTATTCAATGTTAATAAATTAAACTTTTATTGTTCACATGGGGCTTGCAGTGGCCGCAGTGCACAGTGCAGTTATGAGGACTCAGTGAGCTCATGCATGTGAAATTGCCCTGTAAACTGTAAAGTGCAGTGAAGGAATGGTCTTTGCCCTGGACCAGGCTGGATGCTGTCAGGACCATGCTCATGATTATTGACTGGTCTTAAGGAGGCTCCATGGGAAGCCAGTCGTGAATTCTGAGAGGAGGAGAGGTGGGATCTGACATGTGTTTATGGTGTGTTGAAGACAGACGCCAGGGAGGAAGGGCGGAAGCAGGTGACGAATAAGGAAGCTACTGCAGGAAGAGATGCCTCTATCCAGGCAAGAGAGGATGGTGGGAGGGAGCGGAGACGGGGCAGTGCCAAGTGGGACAGGGTGCTGTGGGACTCAGGGTCTAGTTTCAACGCAGAGCCAGCAGAACTTACTGGTAGATTGGATGGGGTGGGTAGGAGAAAAAGGAGAACTCAAGGAGGACTCCAGGGATGTGAGCTTGAGTAACTGGAAGGAAAGCGTTACCATTTTTTGAGCTAGAGAAGACTTCGCAGGAGCAAGTTTAGGGGGTGTGGGGTGGAGGGGACTCAGGAATTCCGTTGGGGGCAGGTTGAATTTGAGGTGCCTGTTAATCATCCCTGCGTTTGGGATTCAAGGGCGACGTCAGGGCTGGTCGTATAAATTTGGGAAGCGTCAGCATAGACACAGTGTTTAAACATTTAAATCCATGGTACCATGCAAGTGAAGATGGATACATAAGAGGAGACGCCTAAGGACCGAGCTCTGGGGCCGACATGTGGAGACCAGAGGGAGGGAGGGGAGCCAACGAAAGCTATTGAAATGGCAGCAGGTGAGGCAGGAAGAAAACCAGTGGAGAGCGAGGTCCTGAGCTACCGTGTGTCGAGGAAGCGAGAGCGATCACCTGTCAGGCGCTGCTGAGAGGTCAGGTACGACGGGGGCTGGGGCTGGAAGACCGGCCATTGGGTGTAACGGCGTGAAGGTCATCGGCGACCTTGGACTGTTCAGAGGAATGTTGGCATGAGTTGCTAGCTGGCTGACTGGATGGATGGAGGAAAGTTCAACCTAACTGATGCAGCTGCCTGCAGCATCCCTTCACCTGTAACGGCAATTAAGCAGATGTTGTCTGACACCCTGGATGCCAGAACCCAAACTGTCAGGACTCATCCCCGTCTCCAGTCTCCCAACTTTTTGGATCCAGCCCAGAAAAGTTGGTGTGACCCTCCCCGCTCGCTATAAGATTAGAATCTTGGCATCTTCTGCTTTGATGATTCTTCTTTTGATGATCTATAATGCTCTCGGTCAAATTTTTCCTCTTTTGAGGCTTGAGAAGGGAAAGAAAGGGACGAAAACAGGAGAAAATGCTAGGTCTGGCATTCTGGTTCGTACTTGCATTTCCCAAACTGTTGCTTTGCCAAATTTCCCCACCTTTCGGGGAGAGGGGATCTGCAGAGCCTTCTACCTCTGTAAGCAGGGGTCCCTGGTGATTCTCCTTCACTTTATGGCCAAGTGAGAAAAGGTTTGAGATATGCGTCTAAATTGTAGTTGGAGACTTAGAGATTTTATGTGAAGTGTTACCTTTCTTTGCATTTATTTGGTTGTCATCATCCACTGGACAAGCGTGGAGGTAGGAGTTCAATCAGCCTGTCTGACATTATCCTTAGGTTTTTTTTTTAATGAAAAGGCCTATTTTCCATGAAGCATTCTCTCCCCTCTACTAATGAAAATCAGATACCTTGGAGGCATGAGGCTCAGACCAGGCTTTCTACCCAGAGTGTACTGGAGTCAACAGTTCCAGGCTTGTGAGGGTCAAGGGTTAACTTCTCAGCAATGTCG